TTAAATGTGGTTCATTGACCATTGCAAGTGGGACTTGCTAAGGATTAATTAAATTAAGTGATCATGCACATCTCTGAAACATTCCAATTGCTCTTTATCATGTCTGCAAAAGGGACCAAAGATATCAATGGATAGGAGAGGGGAAAGAGGGCAACCTTGACAAGTGTCATTCAGGAAGAATATCTTACTAGATAGAAAGTGATGACCTCTGATGTGCCCCCAGAATATTTTTTGTGTTTAAATGTAAATATTTTCAGGGGACATTCAAGGCTTATACCGATCACTCCACTATTCCTTGTATACTTCTCAAACGTTCTTCCAAAATATGTGCTGCAAATTTATACCCGAAAAACACAGAACTTCTTTGTATTACACAATGAAGTGGGAGGGGTCTAACAAACACATAACATTAATGGGGATTACCATGTGATAGAGTTTAACAATTGTGTAGGTTTTGTGCATACGTGTACATTATGGTGTAAGAAAATATTTCAACATGCTAATCTCTTGTTCTAGTATTAATAAGTTACAAATAAAAATAGTAAATGTTCAAGGTTTTTTTGTGCTTAACTAGATAGCAAGTTAGCCCAATCTGAATAGATCCCTCTGTAATATTTCAGAGTCTAACACTGGATTCTTAACTTAAGATGTGAAAAGACCATGAAAAAAACAACAAATAATTTTATCTAAAATCCCAAAATATTTGATTTCTTTGGAAGTTTATCTTTTTTGTAGTTCATTTATTTTTTTACTTAATTATACTTTCGAATAAACTAAACTTTTGCCGCAAACATTACCTCATACTTTCCATTTAAGATTAGTTGTTGTCGAACAATAGTTTAATGGCAAAATTTACAGCAGCGTATGGTCTTCACAATAAACTTCAACTAATTAACTGTATTTAACATTCTTTTCCATAAACGTCAAGTAAATAATATTCATCATTCCACCAATTGAAACAATTATCCTCAGTGTTCTAAATAAGTCAGGTTGACAGAAAACTGTAAATATTTTATGACTTTTTTTATTCATAATGTAAAAGAATTAAGCCGAAAGCATAGTACAAAGCGTGGGCTAGGAGTCACAGTTAAATGCCAATTTACAGCTTACCTGTTGTGTATTCTCCAAAGATAAAACATGTTGCAGTGTATAAGTTGTTCTATAGTTATAAACAGTTAGCAGCAGAGATAACCAAAAAATGTACTGTCAAATTCAAGGTGGATAAATTAGTGTGTAATACAGAGAAGTTTGTTGTTCCACTCATTCTGATGAATACATTATTTCATTTTTTAACTATATATAAAATTAGATGAGCATTCCTTCTGCTTCTAAATAGACATTACAAAAAGTAATGTGATGCCTAGATTTCGCACTAACACCATTTAGTGACAGTCAGATGTCCTACATTTATACCTCTGTCAACCCAGCTTAAAAGATCTTTGGTGTGTATAGCATAACAAGTTTTTTTTTTATAATTTGGTAAAAGTTCCACCTATGGGTGGTTGGTGAGGGTCAGGTGCACCGCAAATTTCAGGGCATCTTCCTGTTCCTCCAAGACTAGAACCAGATGTTAGGAAAATACTCCATACATTTTAAAGACATTTAGTTTCCACGAAGTTCAGTTGAAATTGTTGAACACTGCTCTGCTCCCCGCCTCTACGGTTTCAGTCAGAGAGTTGGGATACCTCTGTCTTAGCACAGCCTGATTGTGCATTGGCTGAGAGCAATGAACTGACATTCTCAGCCAGTAAAATTTCTGTGTTTAAAAGGTAAACAATGCTGAACATATCATGCATTGGTAGATCTGGCTTTGCTTTGCCTAATATTATAGAACAGACAGATCACCGTTTACAGCATTGCTTGGTAGAGGTCATCTGATATATGGCATGCATTTATCTTTACATTTAAATGTACTCTCTCTGGATTACCATTACTACCCTGTTCCATTCTAAACTTCCTTTATGTGTCCATATCTTGATGATTGTCTGTTGTTTTCAACATCTTTTCATGTTTCTGGGTCTGTCTCTTTTAGCGAGGACTCTATTTTCATGTGTGGCTCCTAGTTTTATAGACCGGAAATTTAAATGATACAGTTCCATTAAATTGGCTATACACATCACTTCTACCATGGAGGTAAACTGGACCACTGAACACCTGGTAGGTCCACAAATTAATCAGTTGACTGAATCAATCATGGATTTGGAAATATGATGATTACGGAGAAATAGTTTTTTTATTCATTAAAGGGACACTATAGTCACCAGAATAACTACAGCTTATTGATTTTGTTATGGTGAGTAGAATCATTACCTTCAGGCTTTTTGCTGTAAACACTGTCTTTTCAGAGAAAATGCAGTGTTTACATTACAGCCTAGTGATAACTTCACTGGCCACTCCTGAGATGGCTGTTAGAGATCCTTCCTGGGTCATGGCTGCCTAAAATGCATCCAAATATTCAGTGTCTCCTCCCTCTGCATGCAGACACTGAACTTTCCTCATAGAGATTCATTGATTCAATTCATCTCTATGAGGAGATGCTGATTGGCCAGGGCTGTGTTTGAATCATGCTGGCTCTGCCCCTGATCTGCCTCTTTGTCAGTCTCAGCCAATCCTATGGGGAAGCATTGCGATTGGATCAGGCTACCACTTCTGATGATGTCAGCAGATTGCTTGTTTTTTTTTTTAGGCAAACAGCATGCAGATCTACAGCTTCAGGTTTGAATACAGTAAGATTTTGCTATATTTATGAATGCATGAGGGGCCCAGGGAGCTAGATGATGGTTTTAAAGGACCTCTATAGCGCCAGGAAAACAAACTCATTTTCCTGGCACTATAGTACCCTGAGGGTGCCCTCACCCTCAGGGTCCCATTCCCGTGGCGCTGAAGGGGGAGGAAGGGGTTAATCCCTTACCTTTTTTCCAGTGCCGGGCTCCCTCAGCGCTGGAACTCTCCTCCCTCTTCTGATGTCCCTGGCTGAATGCACATGCGCGGCAAGAGCCGCATGTGTATTCCGCCAGTCTCATAGGAAAGCATTTCCAATGCTTTCCAATGGACGCTGGCGTCTTCTCACTGTGAAAATCAATGAGACAACCACTGGAGGCTGGATTAACCCACAGGTACACATAGCAGTTTCTTTGAAACTGCTATGTTTACAGCAGACAGGGTTAACCCTAGCTGGACCTGGCACCCAGACCACTTCATTAAGTTGAAGTGGTCTGGGTGCCTATAGTGGTCTTTTACCCATTTAATGATCCTTTAACAGGCAATGGGAAACTTAGCTGTAAATCATGAATTCACACTGTACACGCTCTATCACACTGAAAAAACCTACAAGAGCCTTTATTTTATATATATAAACTTTCCAAAAAAACAACAACTCCAAAACAGAACACTTTATTAAATAGATATTAACAGTACCAGGCTGGAAAGTCCTTATATTACAATGACATGTGTCACGTACATGAAGTTCAAAGGTGCAATAATAAAATGTAAAAATAATATTATAAAATATTATACATTGTGGAGTCTGACAAACTTATAATATATGATATGTTTTAAAATACACCTTTTTTGCTTAATCATGTATTTTAAGAATTTAATGCCATCTTGCATGTCTGGAGACATTTATAAACTAGTCTCTAGTCTAGTCTCTAGTCTACCAAGGAGCTTGTCCATGTTCTAGTAATTTTTTATGTTAGTTTTATGTTAGTTTATTTCTGTTACTTTAAATCCAGTAATTGTTTCTCGCCTCTAGTGGCCTTCCTAACCACTAGTCAGGGGCGGACTGAGAGCCTTTGGGGCCCCCGGGCAAAATTAGATCCCAGGCCCTTTGAAGGCCAAATATATGTGCATTTTAATAAATGTTAAATGTAATTCATAATACGGCATTCCTTTGGATGTGTGTATTGTGAAGACCTGTGTATCAATGCATGTTTGTATTTGAGTCTGTGTGAATGCACTTGTGCATGTCTGGATGACTACATGTGCTTTTTTGTATATAGTGTCTGTGTGAATGCATATGTGACAGGTGACAGAGTGTGTGAGGGAGAAGGTGACAGGTGGCAGAGTGAGGGGGTACCTGGTGGCAGAGTGAGGGAGGGGTTGAGTGGTGGCAGAGTGAGGGAGGGGTTGAGTGGTGGCAGAGTGAGGGGGAGACACAGTGAGTGGGGGTGACTGGTGACAGAGTGAGGGAGTGGGTGACTAGTGACAGAGGGAAGGAGAGGGGGAGACTAGTGACAGAGGGAAGGAGAGGGGGAGACTAGTGACAGAGGGAGGGAATGGGAGACTAGTGACAGAGTGAGGGAATGGGTGACTAGTGGCAGAGTGAGGGGGGGAAGGGGTGACTAGTGACAGAGTGAGGGGATGACTGGTGACAGAGTGAGGGGGGGGTGACTGTCACTAGTCACCCCATCCCTCTCTCTGTCACTAGTTACTCCCTCCCTAACTCTGTCACTGTGTCACCCGCTCCCTCACTCTGTCACTAGTCACCCCATTACTCTGTCACTGTGTTACCCCCTCCCTCTGTCACTAGTCACCCCCTCCCTCACTCTGTCACTAATCACCCCCTCTCTCCCTAGTCACCCCCTTCCTCACTCTGTCACTAGACACCCCATCCCTCTCTGTCACTAGTCACTCCCTCCCTCACTCTGTCACTGTGTCACCCCGTCCCTCACTATGTCACTAGTCACCCCCTCCCTCACTATGTCACCCCCTTCCTCACTCTGTCACTAGTCACCCCCTCTCTCACTCTGTCACTAAGGACAGAGAGGGTGATTAGTGATAGAGTGAGGGAGGGGGTGACTAGTGACAGAGTGAGGGAGCAGGTGACACAGTGACAGAGTTAGGAGGGAGTGACTAGTGACAGAGGGATGGGGTGACTAGTGACAGTCACCCCTTCCCTCTCTCTGTCACTAGTCAGCCCCTCTCTCACTCTGTCACTAAGGACAGAGGGGGTGATTAGTGACAGAGTGAGGGAGGGGGTGACTAGTGAGAGTGAGGGAGCAGGTGACACAGTGACAGAGTTAGGAGGGAGTGACTAGTGACAGAGGGATGGGGTGACTAGTGGCAGAGTGAGGGAAGGAAGGGGTGACTAGTGACAGAGTGAGGGAGGTGGTGACTGTCACTAGTCACCACCTCCCTCCCTCTGTCACTACTCCCTCCCTCCTTCTGTCACTAGTCACGCCCTCCCTCACTCTGTCACATGTCATCCCCTCCCTCACTCTGTCACCAGTCATCCCCTTCCCTCACTCTGTCACTAGTCACCCCCTCCCCTCCCTCACTCTGTCACTAGTCACCCCCTCCCTCTCTCTGTCACTAGTCACCCCCTCTCTCACTCTGTCACTAGTCACCCCCTCCCTCACTATGTCACTAGTCACCCCCTTCCTCACTCTGTCACTAGTCACCCCCTCCCTCACTATGTCACTAGTCACCCCCTTCCTCACTCTGTCACTAGTCACCCCCTCTCTCACTCTGTCACCAAGCCCCCTATACTAAATCCCAGCCCCCTCTATACTAAATCCCAGTCCCCCTCTGTACTAAATCCCAGTCCCCCCTCTGTACTAAACCCAGCCCCCTCTATACTCTGCTACAATTCCAGTCCCCCTCTATACTAAACCCAGTCCCCCATCTGTACCTAAATCCCAGCCCCCTATACTAAATCCCAGCCTCTATACTAAATCCCACCCCCTCTCTGTACTCAAACCAGCCCTCCTGTACTCAAATCCCAGTCCCCTCTGTACTAAATCCCAAAAACTCTCCTGTACTAAACTCCAGTCCCCCTCTGTACTAAATCCCAGTCCCCTCCCCCTCTGTACTAAACCTGTGTCCCTCCCCTCTATACTAAATTACAGTCCCCCCTCTGTACTAAATCCCAGTCCCCACCCTCTGTACTGAATCCCAATCCCCCCAGCCCTTGTTTAAAAAAACCCAAAACAATATTAGCCAACTAGCAGACTCCACTCACATTGCCACTGCCAATATAAGTCTCTGGAGTCCAGCCTCTGGTATACCCCCAATGGCGCCGTCTGCATCCTGTGCCAAACGGATCCTCCTGCTACTCCTTGAAAACCTGTGAAGGTGGAGCAGTTGATGTCACCTCAGAATGTGACGTGGCGTTGCATGCATCCGTGTACCTCCACTGTCCAGCCGCAGCCATCACAACACTGACCAACACACACTGACAGACACACACAAACACACACTGACAGACACACACACAGACACTGACAGAGACACACTCACTGACAGACACACACACACACACACACTGACAGACACACACACACACTCTGACAGACACACACACTGACAGACACACACACACACTGACAGACATAAACACACACATTCTTGCACACCCTCATAAATCATTTTATTTATTGTTCCCTACCTTTAGGAGCTGGTGTGTAACCTCTCCCTGAGATCTCCCTTCCTGCTTCTTACTGCTCCCTCATGCACGCAGTTTAGTGATGCTGGGTGACGGAATGACGTCAAATTCCGGCACCGGGCATCACTACAGATGGCGTGCGCGAGGTAGCAGTTAGGAGCAGGAAGACTGAGCTCCCTCCCTGCCGTCAGGGACCTCTCCTCCCCGGCCGGGTAAGTTTGGCAGAGTAGGCACCTGTGACGTGGGGCGATCAGGTGTATACTTTGCTTCAGTAAGCATGGCAAACTCGAAAAATGGCAAACTCAAAAATATTCATTGTGGGCCGTATGCGGCCCGTGGGCCGCGAGTTCGACATGCTTGCTGTAAGCTTGCTGTAAATCTCCCCGTGTGATAATATTGTAAAGCGCTACGGACTATGATAGCGCTATATAAATGCCAATAATAATAATAAGGCAACACAAGAAATTCTCCAGGCACTCAAGGTGTTAAAGCCGAAGGCAGTTTTAATGGAACAAAAAGAACAGCAACATTTTGACCATGCGTAGCTTGAAGAAGACCTCTTAGCAGGTCGAAACGTTGCTGTTCTTTTTGTTCCATTAAAACTGCCTGAGGCTTCAACACCTTGAGTGCCTGGAGAATTTCTTGTGTTGTCTTATCGTTGTGGGATTGCTAGTCCTGCTCCAGAGCACCGGGTGTCTGCTGGGATTGAGTGCGGCTCCTACCATCACCTTTGCAATAATAATAATAATAATAATAATAATAATAATAATATAATAATGTCTCCAGGTTTCCTGAATTAGATCACTTTCCCATAAAATTCCTTTACCATCTTCTATCTATCTGCCTGTCTGTCTGTGGAATTGTATATGTCCCTTTTTGCCAATAAATCATACAGACCATATTTATTAAAAAAATACAATAATATAAATAAAAAAAATGAACACAATGTAAGCTATTATCATTATGCCACACTTTAGTTTACCTAAAGTAAATGATGACTCCTTTAGCTCATTATGGATATTGTAATTGTAATTTGAAAAACCTGCTAAGACACACAAAACAAACATGTTTTTATCCAAGGTTTGCCTTGCAGAGTACCCAAATGGTGATTTGACTTTTTTTTTTTTTACACGAAAATAATCTCCCCTTAAAAGCTTTTTGACCTTTGTCTATGAGAGAGACATTAAAAACCAAACCACATATAAAACATCAGCCATGATGGGAAGAAGTGATTTGTATTACACAAGAGATACAAGTATTTATATGGAGAGTGGAAAAATAAAACATTAGTTGAATTTCCTTTAAAAAAAGAAAAAAATCACTGGGGTGGGGGTTTGGAGTCCAACACAAATGTATGATGAAGTCATTGAAAGTGGGGATTAACTCAATCCAGATGTGTACATTTGTGGATGAAATGGAATCCTGAGTTTAGCACTTATTGAAATTAACTGTATATACCTAGAACCACAATCTGTCTTAATGTTTCAGCTGGCAAAACTAACATTGCGAAGTTATGTTCTGCATGATATTGTTATATCAAGCTAAATGACCCGATCAATCCTTCATGACAACCTGAATTCACAACATTTGGTAACATGTAAGATTTTAATGGACGTGAAAGATAATTGCTCAGTTTTGTACGATATTTCATAGATTATGATATTTATCTGCATAATATACAAATGATGTCAACGAAAATTGTTACAAGATATCAAATGATGTATTCGAAGGGCTGTGGGGTGGTTCAAATTTTTCCTACAAGAAAAAAATATTTTTTTCTTGCAAAAATTATTAGGAATTATCAAAATCAGTCTTTTTCAACATTTTATTTCTAAAATTAATTGCTTCATAAAGTTAGAAAACTTTAGCTTTGTGGAATATTAACCTGCATTTTTCAAAATGTGTTACAGAATAGTCAAGCTTATTTCTTTCTTTCTTTTTTTTTTATATCTTTGATATATGTATTTCATATATGCAATATATTTGCTGAGAGGTTTGTTTGTTTGTTGTTTGCATGGAGCCAACTCCACTTTAATCATTTATGTTTTGTTTTATTTGTTTATTAATTTCTTACATTTAATGTCCATTTAATATCAACCAGGTTTATATATAATTATAATTGGTCTTCCCAGAAGCCATACTACAATCTATAATGAATGCTGCAGGTAGACTGATTTTCCTCTCCTGTTGCTCCTCTCACACCTCTCCCCTCTGTCAGTCATTACACTGGCTTCCTGTATCCTATAGGAGTAATTCAAAGTACTTATCCATGCCTATAAAGCACCTAACCATTCTAGCCCCTCCTATATTTCTTCACTGATACGCACGTATGCCCGTTCTGGGCCTCTCCGCTCTGCCCATGACCTTCTCCTGTCCGCTGCTTGCACCCTTACGGCCAACTCACCCTTGCAGGACTTCTCGCAGGTGGCTCCCTTCCTATGGAATAGCCTTCCTACCACCATCAGACTCTCCCCTAGTCTTCAATCATTTAAGAAGTGCCTTAAAACCCATCTCTTCAGGAAAGCTTATGGCCTCCAAGAGTAACCTATACCTCACATACCTGTCCTTTGCTCTCTCTGAAAGGGCAGCACTTTACTCTCTCCTCCAGCTCTGCTTCACTCCACCTTGTTTGATTGCTACTGTCTGTCCTCTGTTTTATGCCCCACCTCCTATAGACTGTAAGCTCATTTGAGCAGGGTCCTCATTAACCTATTGTTCCTGTAAATGTTTGTAATTGTCTCATTTATTGTGAAATCCCCCGTCTTATAATACTGTTAAGAGCTACGGAAACTGTTGGCGCTGTATAAATGCTGATAATATATATATGAGAATAATATATGCAATTAATACAAATGGAGTATCCAGTCTTTACATGATATTTGTTGGTTGAAACAGTTGCATGTAAAATATTTTATGGGAGATTTTTTATTTCTTCATATTTGAATCATCTGAACCTTGAAAAGCCAGCACATCTGTTTCCAGAATGTTACTTAAGGTAAGACTTAAGAGATCACTATACTTCCTCTTTGAAGTAATACATTTTAATCTGTGTGAGTAAAAGACTAGAGATATGGATAAAAGAATAAAATAATGGGTTTGTTGACATGCTCATATCAATTCATTAACACAGCCAAACGTGATGTATGTAAGGAATCCATCAAGCAGCTTAAAACACTCAGCTTATTGTATTGGTGGTAGAATGCCATGAGTATTGACCCTTAGTTTTTTCAACTTGTCAAAAACAAAAGAACTCTCCAATGCTTTTAAGCTTATTATGCAATGTCATAAAGAGACAATCTATTTTAATGTATGGAGCAAGAACTATTCCAAAGTCAGGAATCAGGGTCACAGAAATGCTGAATGACGGAGTGCCTTTCAGTGGAGCCAAGTTGACACAACGATTGGCATATACAGTCCGAGGGCTGACTGCATGTTGTTCGTGATGTACAAGAACTTGGACAGATATTGAGGAAGTTAAATGTCCTCATTATGACATCACATGTTATGGAGGTAGGTTTTGTTTACCTAGACTGTCAATAAAACATAGGGGCTGCACCCAGAGATGCTTTGCACCATAACACATACAATAAGGAATGGTGAAAGTGGTGCTTGGAGGGATCCTTTAATTGTTTTAAAATTCTTTTAACTATAAGGTCTTCAGTGGTATATAAGAACTGTTAAATAAACAAATGTGCCAGTTTTACTCAATGCCATGCAAGGTATAGCTCTATACCAATTTAATGTAAGGTACATATCCGTTGGGTATGTGTCAGAAAATAAGCCAGCTACTGACCTTTTCTTCTCCGATACTCCTTATCCACTCCCTCGTCTTCACCAAGCTTGATTACTGTAACTCCCTTCTACTCGACTTTACACAACACTTCATTACTCTACTTCAACAAATCCAATT